AATTATTGTAAATAGCACGAAAATAAAAACAAATAAAATTTTTTCTTATTTCATTCGCTGTCTCTCCATTTGAACTATTATGCATGAAAAATAAAACACAATGGTAAAGTAAGTTATTTGTGTAGCACAAAAGTTGAAAATTTGAATAGCAGAAACAAACAAGAAGAAAACAAAAAATAGTCTTTTGAAGGAGAAAACTATAGAAAAAATAAAAAGTTTGGTGTTTCAATTGTAGAATTTTCAGTTTTTGAAACTTGAAAGTACATATATATACACCTATATATATATATATATATATATATATATATATATATATACTTTTTTAATTTATCTATTTAGTTATAACAGTCGGATAAATAACTTAGTCTACAACAACATAACAAAGCGAGATACGACACAGCCAATTTTCAAGAACAAAATCAGTAAAAAAGAATAAAAAATATTTGTTGTAAACCGTTGCTATGAACGAGCAGTCTCAGTGCAAAGAGGTTTAGTTTTTTCATTAACATCTTTCGATAGCTCCATCATTTGACTGGAAAAAGCATCACTGTTTTAGAAATTTAAAAACATGTTTTTTCATATAATTTCGTCACTTACCGTCTCAAAGCTAGATATTTAGACTGATTAGTCTTTTCACGTGTTTTCCACTTCATTACCGCTTGCCTTAATTCATCATATTCTTTCCAATTGCGAATCCAACGTAGGAATAGACGATCCCAAAATATCTGAAGAATTAGTTGACAATGTCCTTACTTTAAAAGCACGACATACACAAACAACGAAATTTTCAGTACACAGGCATGTTAAATTAAAACTCTTAAACGCGGTTACAGCTTTATTTACTACAAAGAAAATAATCGCAAAGGAAAATACAAGGCTTTGAGGAGCAACTGAAGGCCACAGCACAGAGTCATTCGGCTCATAAAGAGCATTAACGAATGTACGTAATATCTCGGGATTATTCACGTAAGACCAAAGCGAGACCGTTCTAGTTTTAACATTAAGCTGAGCTTTCTCCTTCTCGTTATTACCTGCAAACAGTATCAATTACATTAGCAAAATTTGACAACTGCAAAAAAGAGTAAAGTCAGACATATAACATAATTATGAAGAGCCAACCTAGAAAAGAGCCAAATTCAGATGCATAAGCATGCTCAAACAGGAAAATGAGGAAGGCCTCTGTAAACTCAAATGAGCAGGGATACTGTTGGTAAACCTGTATAAAACATATATCTGAAGAACTAAGGAGCAAAGAATCAAAAACTTCATGATCAAATCTACAGCCACGTTTATATTACTTGTAGTCTCCTGCTCTTCAATAATGAAGTCTCATGAGTAATCTAAATTACTCAGTTAAAACGAAATTCAAAAAAACTCACTTGCCAAACGCAGTCTAAAAACAAGAGAAAAACGGGAGACTCATAAGGACCAGTGACAGCACCAGACGCATAGGCCGAATGAGCACAACGTAGAGAGAACGGATGACCAGCACAAATCCATTCTCGTTCAATGAGAGCCTCAAAGCTAACCGGAAACAATATTTTTTACTAAAAGACCCTTGTGACTGCTTTTATAATAAAGCATCTTGGATAAGCTTCTCAAAAGTCACCACGAACCTTTTCTACCAGTGAGTAGAAAAGCGGTAAAAACTGGAATAAGAATTTGTGGCTATTTACCTACACAAACGGCAAAGAACTGATCTAAAAAAATTTTTTAGACAAAGCCACACTTGTATTACTATATAACTCAAAAAGCATTACCCTCTAGTTGTTCGTGCATCTGAATCCAAAAGAATTTGAGCAAGAGCAGTGGTCAAAAGAGTTATGTCCGTTCCTTCTGAACCGTGAACCACCACTGGGACTTCTGCAATTATATTTTTTCGTTTTTGAGGAAAGAATAAAAGCGAGAAGTTGGTAAAATTATACAAAATAGTACTTGATAACCATGTGTTAAATGTTATCAAAAAAAGTATATCAGTGGCAAAACTTCTGCAATCAAGTCTTTAATTTGCAGATCTGGCTTGAAATACTTTTCTGTTTGCTTCTACTTCTAAAAAAATCCATAAAATTAAAAAGAAGAAATATTTTTCTTATAACAGCCCTCAGATTTTAAACTGCAATGACGTTGAGAAAAAATTTACTCAAAGGTTTTTGACGTACATTGACTTATTAAAAATTAAAGTTACCAGAAGAACTGTCGCAATAAATGCACTGCGCCACAGTGGCTGCTGCAGTCAATGCTTCAGCAACACTCTGCATCCAACCAGACGCACTCAATTTCGACAGCCAACGCTCCATAGTCGGATTTGTTTCATTGCATACTGTAAAATAACTTATAACCAAGAAAAATTTCTAAAAAACCCAGTTCCTACGAGACTATAAGAATTAACTTTCAATAAGTTTCGTTAGGGAGTCACGAATCTCCTTCATCCTTGGTACTGCGCTGTGAATATATTTCCACTGAGAATAATACATTTGTGGTTCACAGCCTCCTCCTAGGAAAATTACAGTTGGAAATATTGTTAAATAGTTTGATACCACTAAATGAAGACAAAAAATAATTGATACCTCTCGTTTTAGCGCTCTGTCTCAGTTGTTTAGAACGAACATCTATAATTACACCCTTGCTGCCCGAAGAAAGTAAAGCGTTAATAATCACCTCATCTTCCTTACACCTTCGATTGGTAGGACCAATTAGAGGTTGTCCGCAACGAACTAATGGTGACTAGAATGGTACAGAATATAAGTGGATAGAAAACGCGTTTCCAAATTCACATTCTTTGATTCACCCCTAACCTTAGTTTCATAATGATAGTAGCAGAGAACAGGAAATCGGCCACCGCTACGAAATGTCGCAGAAATGCGCAAGAAGTCATCACCTATACCCTTAGGTACAACGACCATTTCGGGATATGACGGGCAAACCTAAAAAAAAAACCCTGGTCCAGTAGCAGTACCCTTTAATCAAAAACTCTACATTACTTTACAAAAACAGAATACTTTTGTGGTAGTAAGACTATTTTGAAAAACAACTATTTATTGCTTTATTTTTTTTGATTTTTCAAAAATGAAGCTCAATCCGAAAAGATTTTTTTTACTAAAAATCAAGTACCACCAAAAATTCCAGCGAAATTTTGTTTAAAATATTAGCAGTCCCCTTAAAAAAAGACGCTTTCAGTAGGAAGAAGGTAATAACTCACACGCACTAAAACAATAAGCAAAATTCCAAGTAAGCAAAATAAACGTAAAAAAAACTACTTTTAAAAACAATTCTAGCTTACCCTGTAATTTTTGTTCACTGAACTCAGTCTCCACTTGTCATTACACCGTACCATGAGTTTTGCAAACTCTTGTACTGCGTCAAACGCAGTCCACCCATCGTCAAGAGTGGTAAACGGACATTGGTAATAAAAAGGATATTCATGCTGTAGGTCATCTAAAAAGAATATTATTACACATATGATATAGCAAAAATCAAAATGAAAGTATTTTATGGGGGTAAGTGAAAATTTGTAAAGATTTATTAGATGCAATAAAAGTAATTTTTGAATAAGAAGAGGCAAGTTCTAAAAATGATAAACGTAGTGTTACTGAAATTGTAGTACTGAAGTAACATTACTCAGATTTGATAACCGTTGAATTGAACGAGCAACAGCCATGCAATCTTCTAAATCATCCATCTCGAACTCGCATATCATAAAGTTTTTACATTTCAGTATCAGAAACCCGCCTTTCACAACGTTGTCTCGACTTTTTGGTTCTACTGTTGCAAAATCTACGGCGCGATGAAGAAGCTTAAACCACTGAGTTGTTTTTGAGAGAAACGATAAAAAAATCTTTGCAGTAAACCATACTACTGAAGACCAGTGAAACATCTTGTAGAGATTTAAAAAACAACCGACCCGACAGAATACGCTAAAATCGAATTCCGCACAAATAGAAAACGAACTGATTACCCATAATTCTTCCGAAGTTTTCTTTTTCTTTGCATCGGACGGTGAGAAAATTAAGTGATGGCCAATAAGAGCTAAAGCACCTGGTTGAGGTAATCTTGGACCTTTGCGTAAAAATACATTATTGACACGTGGTTTTTCGATTGCCTCAGAAAGTTCCATATCTAAAAGAAAAATGTATAGTGGAAAAAATTTTGAAGAAAATTTTTTGCTCTTTAATGAAACTAAAACGGACGGAAAGAATTAGTAGCGAATGACGAGTTTTGCAAATTTAAGTGCTGAATATGCCTCTACACTCTTGACTGCTGCCTAAAGCACGCTGTCAAAAATGGCATTAAGATACACAGAAAGTACCTAAGTGTAAAATGTGTAAAGAAAGTCTTCTTCTTTCCTTGTAGGACGAAGAGCTGACCACTGCAAACCCTTGGTTACGAACAAGCAGAAGCAGGAAAAATGTAAAATACGGCCAATTTTCGTAAAACTGTGCGACAGGTTTACCGGGACAGTTAATTGTCCGATTGCTAGGAAAACAATTTATAGACTTCTACTATGGAGAAGCGACCTGCATAGACAAATATAAGACATCTACATATATACATTCTCACACGTAGGGATTTTTTATTGACTTTTTAACGTATTACTCATTGAAGACTTATCTTGCACAAAAAAAGAAAGGAAAAACACTTTTGGGAATATTAAGTTGAAAACAACTGATACAAGAAGAACACTGAATTTCTAACCACCGATTAGTCCTATCAATCAACAACACTTCTCAGATCAAAAATTTCCCGTGTACATGAAGCATTTATAGGTTTATAGGTCTTCGGATACAACTACTTTTAAGACACCTTTTCAATTCAACTTTTTAGGCAGTCCAACTCCGTGCTTTGCTGTATAATTTTTTCTTCTGTCAGTAAATTCTATAAAAATTCATGGAAAAAAAAAACTAAGATGGCCCTCAGAAGTTAATGTTAGCCAAAGAAAGCTATAATTTTAACTTTAAATATCGTTTCCTTTGTCCATTAACAAAGATAACGATTATTAGCCCGTTTCCTGCATCCAACAATAAATCTTTTGTAATAATTGTCATCTAAAGTAACTGTTTAGTACGTCTAATCAACTACTGTTGTGCAGTTAATTTGGTCATCTAATCTCATCCATAGAATCGACTACAAAATTTTTATTACTGAAGTTCTTCTGGGAAAAAAGAGAGCCACAAATATGTAAAGCTAGTGAATTTTTTCCCCTTTTCTATTGCTGCTACAAATGTTGCACAACAAATTGCAAAATTTCTTTTTTGCCAATTTTATCCAACGCAAATTTGATATACTCAACAGACTCCATTGGGGTCGTCTGCCGTCTTGCGCTTTTTTTTTTTTTTCTTTGCTTTTACATTATTTGTGGCTATAATGTTTTTTGTTGAGAAAGTGCCAATTATTTGAGAGATCCCATCAGCTGTATACATTTTCGTTTGCCCACTATCTCCAACTTCTCGGTAAAGCAACAATTTTCGAGGATATGAAGATTTTTTGAACATTGATCACGCTAACAGTACTATGTTTAAAAATTTTACTGTAATATCCTTAACAATTGGGTAAATAAATGTACGGACAACAAAATGATAGGGAAATCTTCAAGATTCCTGAAAGCTGTAAATTTTGTCTCGTTAACTTATAGGTACAAAAAACACAAATTATGCATCCATTAATGGCTTAGTCTAAACAGACATTCGGCATATAATTTGGTCACACTTACTTTTTGTTTTTTTGCAAGAGGGGAAAGCTTTAAAATTATGCAAGTCGCCTGCTTTTTACATATATAAAAATTGCAGCAAATTTTACGTCTCTAATTCAAAAATCAAAAAAAAAAAACCCTTCATCTTATTCAGTTAAATTTTCAAAGTTCAGTAGTTCAGTAAAAGTCATCTGTTTGGTTTTTTCCCCTACAGTATTCCGGATGTTTACCTTCTTCAAAGTGTAAACAAATCTTCTAATTTGTTGCCTCTTTTTTTTTTTTCTTTAAAGTTAGCACCGGTCACTTAAGTTTCAAACAGTTTTCATATCAACAAATAAACCGGTTTTTTCACTCTT